CTACAATAAATTAATGTTATCAAGAAAATGAACATGGATAATGTTTTCAATATCGGTTAAGAACAGGTTCTGTTTAAAGTTGAAAGAACGTTACGAAAGCGATTGAAGTACACTTACACAGACGGAGTAGATGAAAACATTAACTTTATGGTACAAACCAGTGATTGTTTGCTACAGATACGTAACCTCGTTATAAAACATTATTACCAGACATTACATTTGGTATCGTCATACGATTTAACACGATGGTTGGCACCTATAGCATGCAAATTCATCTTACCTCTTGTTCAAGGTTATATGTATACTAATTCATCAAGTACACACAAGTTCTAAGATCTTAATACCATTAATACGATGCAGAGTAAGGAAGCGTACAATCAGGTTAAGTGACCATATTTGGGAAGTAGATTGAGGCAGTGTGCATCCTGGCTAAACCAACGTCATGAAGTTTATATAGCGATGTTTAGGTAGTATGTAACCGTGGAATTAATGACAGTGCAAAACATTTAACGAGTCCGTACAAATTATGATTCTGCAGGCATTTACTTTATACACTGTATATGGGGAAGCAGATCGATCTATATCGTATCGAATCAAAGAAGCACAGTATTGAGAAATTGAAGGCGCATATGGCGTATGAAAAAGTTTATGAAACTCTAAAAATTGTCCACTTTATTTAAGAAGGAACCACTTTTAGAATCGAATAAATGTTGATATTTGATAATAATTCTTATTAAAAAATATTAATTTATATAAAAACTGCAAGTGTCAGAATTTCTTACATAGGTAATATAAGAAATTGTCACTATGATAAAAATTATTTGTTTGTACATGTTATAATTTGATTCTAATATATTTAAGTAAATAGATGTTAATACTAACTGTAATATTTTGTATACATACATTATCAATAAATGTAGTATTCTCTGATCATTTTTTCTTAGCCATCCCTTCTTGTCCCACATTCCACTATTTCTATGTAGGTATACAAAATTTATATTAGTTATTCTGTATCGCTAAAAATTCTTAAATATCAACATTCATTGGTCCTAAAAAATTTCGAAAGGTTCGTAGCATCCAGTCGATGAGGTGTCGCGTTGAAATTTGAAAGCAACGGTAAAAAAAAACGATAAAGAGGGATTAACGATGTGGAAGCAGAATGCGGACGTTCGAAGAGAGGGTCTTCGTTGAATTATTCGCGATGACGTGATTGCTCGGGAAAGTAAATTACCTGTTCTAGTGACCGGCTGACTTCGGAACTACGGTTCTAGTAAAAGATTGCAAAGCTGACGCGGTTTACCTGTGTATATATTGAAGCTACCGAACAGCATCGAGGAAGTACATATATGGGCCGGCTATAAAGTCTCTTGGGGGTTTACGATCCAGCGTCTTTGAGACTATCGATTGCTCGGGAATTCCCTTCTTAGTCTTAGGAAACTCTTGCTTCGGAAACACTGCCCTATCCAGTGCCTTTACACGTGGATTTTGATGTGAAACGAACTCCACCTTGTTCATTTATCGTTTTGTGAGTTATATGCTACAATGTTATAGTCCGTACGACAACGAAAATATTTTCACACATTTCAGAACTTCAGATTTATCAAAAGTAGCAGTCACTTACTGTGCATATGTATATACTATATTTATAAATTCATTCTTTATTCTAATTGTTGCGTCGCAAACCCTTGAGCCCAAAGACCGGTAAGCAACAAAGGGAAGCGGCCTTGACACACGCCGCGCGAAATGCCGCGCCGCAGAGCCAGTGGGCTGCGCGCAAAGGATTCTCGAAATCGGTGAACCGGATGCAAAATCAAAAGAAGGCGCGTGGCACGGAACACGGCTCTCGAAGAATCGAGAACTATCGAGAGTGTTCTGCTGCTCATGTCAAGGACGTTTGTACCCGGTTTAAAGAAAAGCCAAAGGACGATCGGGAGGGTATATACAGTCAGTGTGGCCAGATCGGGCATAATTGAGTGCATCGAAATCGACAATAGTGTCGACGAACTTCCTTAATGTCTATCAGAGTGGTGGGGATAGCAGGCATATACTACCGCACGAGCCACGTGTATGTGAGCTCGGCACTTTGCACAATTTCAGGAAAACGATAAAGAACGCTAGTGTGAGCCTTTCCTTCTTGGTCTTGTAAAAGAGAAACAGCTGAAATACGACCTCGCGATAATCAGCATACGATCCCAAGTCTCGACTGCCCCAGCATTTTTACTTTCTGACCTATGTAAGGTATAAGGAAAGTATATCGAAAATTTTTTTAGCGGAAATACACGTTTTAAGAGCCCCTGACCATATTGTGACTATTAAAAAAAAAGAAATTTTTTTTGTTCCTATTGTAGGCGCGAATCGGTAGACATGAAATTAGCGACAAGCGGCCATCGTCCTCAATCGGCGAATTCAGATTTTGTGAGTGTGAAATGAATGTGCGCGAAATGAGTACCTGAGCCGTGAACGACAAAGGACAGTCAGAGAGTGTGCGTGTGTACGATTTCCTAGCTACGAGGGAGATTTATTTCAATATTTCCGTGTTATACCTGCGAAAGGAACAACAATCCTGAAGGGAGGAAGGTTCGAAGAAGCAAGAATCCAGGAAGGAGCAACATTCAGGGAGCAATAACAATTCAGGAAGGAGTAACAATTCGGGAGGGAGCAACATCCAGACACCGCCATCAACTCAGGAAGGAGCAACAATCGAAGAAGGGTGCAACGGAACGCACCGGTATGTGAAAGTGAAAAGTGCGAGTGACCGTGCTGTAAAGTGTTTTCGGGGTGAGAAGCGAGTGCAGTGACCGGGTTGGCCCATCAGCCAGGATTTTCGTTGGGGTCTTCGACCTTGCCATGATCGACAGCGGTGCATTGGCCGGGCCCTATTGTCAGCGCAGTAGGTCAACTTGCAGATGAATGGGTAAGTCGAATTTCAATTATTTCTTTATTAACCCTTTGCATTCGAGGAATGTTTCGGTATGCAGAAATCCAGTCTGCTTTTCCAGTACAGTTGTTAATAACAAACGGTTACAAATGTTTCTTACCGTATTTATTTTAATTTTAAAACACTCTGCTGGCGAGAAGCGTCACTCGAGTGCGAAGAGTTAATTTCCTAAAAATTCCGAGATTGTATTCCTTCTTCCTTGGAAACAGCGAATACAAATAATTAATAAATTCCATTTAGTAATTAACGAATTAGGTAACAGTTGAAGTGGTAGTATTTTTAATTATTTGTATTCGTTCTTCGATGTATCTTCAACGCGCATCTTGCTACCTACCCGGCCCGGTGGCTCTCCGAGGTCGGACGGCCCTGAGCGCGCGGAAGGCGAGCGCCGTGATTGGTCAGTGTTTTTCGTTAATAATTCAAAAACGAAGCTCCATCCGACATTTTTGCAAAGGAAATTGTTGTTCAGAATCGTCTCAGCTACCCCCCATTTCCGGTTCTTACACTATTTACGGGACACCCTGTATATCTAAAATTAATCAAATACGTGTTGGTCATTCAAACCCAAGTTCGAAGCTGACGCTTACACTATGCTATTAACATGATTGCGTCTAAACGGCTGAATGAATTTCACTGAAATTTTACATTTAAGTTTTATGTTCTCATTTCAAGGTCTGATTTTATTTTTTGAGCGTGAATTTTTCCCAGGAGTGGCCGAACACTCTATATACTTGAAAACGCACAATATAAAATATATAAATAAACAGAAAAACATACAATTATAAAAAAAAATGGCAAAAACTTACAAAAATTATGTGTGCTGTAATAATCTTACTGTATTGTCCAAACTATACGATATGTATTATTTATTGTCGATGGGCGGGGGGGAGAGAGGAGGGGCGTAGGAGGGAGGGGTGGTGGGATGGAGAATGTAGGGAGAAGAAGAGCGAGTTGAGAAGGGAGCTACGGAGGTGGAGGGGAGGGGAGGGGAGTAGGGAGGACTTCAAGAGAAGGAGGGGGGAGTATAAGGAGCTGTGCGATAGGAAGAGGGAGGAGGAGAGGGAGAGGCTGGTAAGGGAGGTGGCAGAGGCAAAAACGGAAAATAGGGTGTGGGAAATAGTGAATAGGGGTAGGAAGAAAAGGAAAGGGGTGGACGAAAGTATAAAGAAGGGGGAATGGAAGGAACATTTCATGGGGCTGCTGGGAGGAGTGGAAAATAGGGTAAGGGTGGGGGGAGAGGAGGGCAGGAGAAGGGGGGAGGAAGAGGGAATAAGTAAGGAGGAAGTGAGGAGGGTGGTGAGAAGGTTGAAGGAAGGAAAGGCAATGGGAGGGGATGAGATCCCGAATGAGGCTTGGAAGTACGGGGGAGAGAGGGGTTTAGAGTTGGCATGGGAGGTATGTAGGAGAGTGTGGGATGGGGAGGGGTGGCCGCAGGGGTGGAAGGAAGGGACTATAGTACCGGTGGCGAAGAAAGGGGGCGGGAAGAGGGTGCAGGATTACAGGGGGGTTACGCTGATGCCGACCTTGTATAAGGTGTATGCGGCGGTACTGTTGGAGAGGTTGGAGCGGGAGGTGGAGGTGGGGGGGGATGATTCCGGAGAATCAGGCGGGGTTCAGGAGAGGGAGGGGTACGGTGGATCATATCTACGTGTTAAATTTTCTGATTGGAAGGCAGGTCGGGAGGAGGGGGGGGAAGCTGGTGGCGCTGTTCGTGGATCTGAGGGCGGCTTTCGACTCGGTGGACAGGAGGACTCTGTGGGAGGCGATGGAGAGGAGAGGGGTGAGGGAAGGGTTGAGGGAGAGGGTAAGGGAAATTTATAGGGAGACGAAGAGCAGGGTGAAGGTGGGGGGGGAGGTAGGGGAGGGTTTTTGGACGGCGAAGGGGTTGAGGCAAGGGTGCCCCCTGAGTCCGACGCTCTTCAATTTGTTAATAGCGGATGTGGAAGAGGAGATGAGGAAAGGAAGATGGGGAGGGGTGGAGGTAGGGGGGAGGAGAGTGTGTGCGCTGGCGTATGCGGATGACCTGGTGATGGTGGCGAAGGACGAGGAAGAGATGGGGAGTATGATTAGGCGGCTCGAAGGGTACCTGGATAGAAAGAGGTTGGAGGTTAATGTGGAGAAAACGAAGGTGGTAAGGTTTAGGAAGGGGGGAGGAAGGGAGAGGAAGGTGGAGTGGAGGTGGAAGGGGAAAAGGATAGAGGAGGTGAAGGAGTTTAAGTACCTGGGGTACGTGTTCAGGAGGAACGGGGGTCAGGAGGCGCAGGTTAGGGATAGGGTGAGAAAGGCGGGGGGTGGTAATGAGGCAGGCATGGGGAATCGGGAAAAGGAAGTTTGAGAGGGACTGGGGAAGGAGGATGTGGCTGTTCGACACGTTGGTCTGGACGGTGGCGGGATATGGGGCAGAGATTTGGGGGTGGAGGGAGAGGGAGGAGATGGAGAGGATGCAGGAGAGGTATATAAGGTGGTCATTGGGGGTGGACTGGAGGACGCCAGGATATATGGTAAGGGAGGAGACGAAGAGGAAAAAGTTGAGGACGTGGGCGGGGAGAAGGGCAGGGAGATATGAGGAGAAACTGAGTAGGGGAGAGGGAGGGGAGTTGGCTAGGTGGTGCCTGGAAGAGATAAGGGAAAGGGGAAGGGAAGGGGGAGAGGAATTGTCGGCGTGGGAGAGAGACAGGTTGGGGTGTAGAGGGTTGGGAGGATTGAGGGGAGGAGAGGGAGGGGCAAGTGGGCGAGCGGGCTGGGAGGGATGGGAGGAGGAAGATGGGAGGAGGCAGGAAGAGGAGAGATGGGGAAAAGTGGTGCAGTCGAGGTATAATAGGTGGTACAGGGAGTTGGTGGGACGGGAGTTACCGGGGTACCTGAAGGCAGGGTGGGGAGAAGTGAGGTATGGAAGGCTAGCTAGGTATAGGATGGGGAACGAGATGAGGGGGGGGGGAGGTACTGGGGGGATGAGGAAGAGAGGAGATGTAGGGTATGTGGTTGGGAGGAGGAGACATGGGAGCACGTTTTGGAGAGATGTACGGGGGATGAGGCAGAGGGGAAGGGGATCGGGGAAAGGATAAGGGAGATTTTGGACGAGGGAGGGGGAGGGGAGGGGTGGATAAAGAGGCTGGAGGTCAGGAGGAAAGAGAAAGAGGTGGAGAGGGGGGAAGGGGGGGATGAGGGGAGGAGTGAATGAAGGAATGGAATGCAAGGGCGGAAATGGAAGTCGACGGCGGGGAGGGCGAGCGGGGGTGGAGGAGTGGGAGAGAAGGGAGGAGGGAGAGAGGGAGAGAGCGAGTAGCGTAAGGTTAGGCTAAGAGCGTGCGGCGAAGGGAGATGAGAGAGAGAGAGAGAGAGAGAGCGAGTAGCGTAGGATTAGGATAAGAGCGTGCGGCGAAAGGAAATGAGAGAGAGGGGAAAAGCGGCGGGGGGAGGATGTAAGGGCAGTGAGGAGTAGAGTAAGAGTAGAATAAGTAGGATAAGTAGGATAAGTTAGGTTAAGGGAGAGATGGAAATGTAAGGTGGGGAGGAAGTGTAACCCTAAGGGGAAGCAGGAAATAAATCTATCTATTTATTGTCGATGTTAGGCAAATAATTTACTGTTTCCTGATTATTAACCTTTCTTTGTTACATTATGTAATATACTATAATATTAAATTTATATACTATATATTTTGTATATTATATTATTACTATGCCATTCTGAAACAAAGTGTAGCAACATTTCTTTAAGCTATAGGAAAAGGTGCAGGAAAATTAAAAAATTACTATTTAAAAGTTTATGACAATCCAAATATATTAAGGACTAAACATTCAAAATATTTATTTGGTAATGTAGGTATAGTATAGAAAGTTAAATTTTTTGGTAAATTCATTAGAATCTGGAAAAATTTAAATAATATCAAACATTATAAATGATGGAAATTTATATTTTGTAAAATCAAAGTAATCACAACGCAGTGCTTGATTTAGGTGATGAGTAAAAAATCGATGATTTATTCTGAGAATCAGTACCATCAACGTCAGAAATAGTTTTTTGGATAGGAACGAATAAAAAGAAAATGTATTACAAATGAAACACTAAAATAAAAGTTCAAATGACATTCAGTGAAAACCTAACATATTTCAAGAAATAAAATATAAGAAGATATATTATTTAACATTGATAATAAAACTAAAATTTAATGTATTTTCAGTTTTTTTATAATTAATAATAGATTACAATTTTGTAGTGTATGTTTCAGTGAGCGCATTATTAATAATATTAATTTTATTATGGGGAAATGTTACCAAATCTTATTGGAAATCAAATAACGAATAAATTCATTTTCTTCTATAATTAATAATGAACACGGATTTTTAAATGCATTTTTTAATTATGAGATTTTTCAAACAATACTAAGTATAATCATTAAATCATTAAAATCTCCATTTTATTATAGAAATACCTTTCCAAAATAACAATAATTGAGCAAACGTATTGGAAGATAGTAAATCATTCGTTAGATGAAAAAATTGAAAAATAGATTTTGTAGCTCGCATACTTTGTATAATTAGCAAATGATATAGTTTCAACTACAATTTTGTTCGTTCCCGAACGGTATTTCGCAAGCGAAGATATAATAAATAAATAAAATATTGCAAACGCACGCTTTGTTTGCATACTGATAAAACAAGGTAACAGTAGGAATGATGGCCGTTGTTAAAATTACATTCCAAGCTGTAATTCACATCTCGCTGTATTTCAGTAAAGTTTTTAATACCAATCTCGTTTTCAGCATTTCATACCGTGCATCCTACTTCTCGCGCAATTCTGTCCAACGTTTTTTAAATATTTCCATAATAATTATCTCGATCGCGGATACGCATATTGCATCCGTGCAGAATAGTTCGCAATATCTATGTACGAAATCGCTTTATTTAAACCAACACTTACAGTTCTAATGTATCGGAGTTACAGCAATTTATTTGGTTAAAACGAATATTTTATTTTGGTTTTCACTAAACATTTGACTGTAATGCTGAAACAAATGAACAATATAAAATTAGATGAATATTGGCAGCGGTTACTTAAAACAAAAGTTGTAGAAATTAATTTTTCTTGAAGCTTAAAACCTAATTATCTAGACAAAAGATAATAATTACATTTTAATACAGTAGAAGAAGTTCATTCATATCAACTCTGTTTATCAGAATAAATTTTTCGTCAATGCTCTATTTTGCTGGACTTTTATTATTTGAATTACATACTACCAAGCGTCACTTAATTATCTGAACAGTTACTACGGACAAAAATGTGAAAAACACATTTTGTAAACAAGCACATTTATGATATGTTGTTGTCGTTGTCGATATACGTTTCTTCGTTAGTTATCAAGTAGTACTCCAAAGAAGCAGTATTTCCATTATAATAATAATAACATATATAATATTGTTGCGACGGACTGAAGATGCATCGTTGCGGCAACGTGAAGGCTGTTCCGCAACGATGTGAAGCTGCTCCTTCGAACGAGCGGAAGCGAGAGCCCGTTCCTTCCTGTTGCCAGAGGAACCGGCAACGATTCAAAAGATCAGAACTACGTGAGACCTCATAGAGAACTGACGTACTAAAATTGTGCTCTGTTTAAATAAAAAGCTTACTCTTGTTCATTAGTTCGTGTTCCTAGTGTTACGTTAATTTGTTCTGCGATAAAATGAGTTGTGCGAGAAACACCCCGTCCCGGCGCAACAATATAGTGTGGTGATACTTCCTGCACTCGACAGCAGAGGGATCGCTTTCTCATGTAAGAAGTGTATGTGAGTTTGGATTGTGAGACCGTTGGCGTCGATGGTATTTAGTCTAAGGTAGAGTACGCATCGAGTGAGGTGTTTAGGTGAGTTAGGTTTAGGCTGAAATGCATTCGGGGGACTGCGCCTCGAACGGGGGGTTGTTTAGATTATTATGTACTAGCATTTGCCCGCGGCTTCGCTCGCACAGGAAACCGTTTAGTTCCCTCGGAAATAGATATTGTTTCTCCATAAAACCTTTTAAGCCCCCATTCACTTCTATAGAGTTTTAATTTTATGTCATGCCGTCATCTTACATTTCAAAATTGATACCATTTTCGTAATTAACGTCCCAAAAAACCTTCATAACGACACTCATACCGATATTTAAGCGTATTTACACCATTGCAACGATTTAGAGATGAGATAATAATTACGTACTTACATGTTAAATTTGAAGTTTCTAGATCCATTTACGGAAATAAGGCAACTTTAATGCGAAATAAGTGTATCAATGAGCATTGAGACCAAGCATCAGGTATTCAGAGGTTAAATTTTTTGCCGGTCTACAGGCGGGACTTCAAACGTTAATAACTTTTTAACGAAACCTCAATTAAGAAATTAGTATTCGTGATTTTCGTCTTATTTTAGCTTTTAGAATCTCCCACTAAATTTTTTCCAAAAGGTAGCTGAACACCTTGTATATACGCTCTTCGACCGACCATTGGATGTCCCGATGTCTAAGCAAGCCGCCACAATAGTATAATAGTATGTATTTAATTTATAATTTATGAATATGGCTTCCAGTAGTAATTCAAATTGCAAGTAGAAATGTTTGACATGTTGAAGAGATTGAAAAGTAGCGTAACAGTAGGTTCTTCTTTCTAAAGTGTTTGAAATAGCAAAATCAGTAATGTTAAAAAATGACAAACCTAAAATAATCTATATACAAATGAAAGGCCTGACTCACTGACTCATCAACGCCCAGGCTAAGCCCTTGGATATAAAAAGCTAAAGTTTTGCACAGAGGTTTCCTTTATGATGTATACAAGGAATAAGAAAGGATACTTCGTAATTCAACCTCTGAAGGAGTGAAAAGGGGTTGTAACGTTTGTATGAGGAATACTTTATTTGTGGTCGGATTTGCTTCAAACTTGGTCTTAATGCTCTTTGATATAAATAATCAAACATCTATTTTGGCATTTTAAAAAATTCAACCTCTGAAGGGGTGAAAAGGGGTTGCAACGTTTGTATGGGACATATTTTGTTCGTGGTCGGATTTACCTGATACTTATTATTTTGGACGCAGCGGTTCCAATACGCTTATCAGCATTGAGTTATCAGGTTGGTCATCCAACAAGTATATTTAATGCCATTAGTGATGGAACGCAATATCGTTCAAATGTCCACCATGGCTACATTTGCAGAAGTGGGAGCAAAAGTTATCATGACTTCTCATATAAATCGGTTGGAATATCGTGATAATCTCAAAGTTGGTTCTCAAGTTATTTAATTTTGTGGATTGTGGGAAAAAGGGCATTAAAGCAAAAAAGGGAAAGAAACAAACAGTGTTTAAAGCCATTCGAGCGAGCTACAATAATATGAAGTAAAAAATATACATATAATGCCATTTTAAAAAATGAAGATGAACTTGCCTTTTTTAGAATAAAAATATTTTGCTAGTTTTTATATTGTAATTTGTAGCTGACCAGAAATTGATTAATTTTTGTTTGGTACATCTTTCTATCAGGCCGTCGGAAATGCTCGAAAAATCGTAGCAACAGTTACGTGGGACACCCTGTATACAAGCATGATTAGAGATGTTGACATAAAAATATTTATTTTCTTAGTTTATAGTTAATAGTACCACGCACGAAAAAATAAGTGCTATCTTTTTGTCCCGGAGTGTATTTCTTTATTTTCAATTAAACAATTAGTCAAACTAGTTGCTATTATTTTCGTTTCATTAATGTTTTACTATAATGTCAATTTGACATATAAGGAACATATTAGGTTGAGCAAATGACGGCCGGGTGAGGGTTAATTTAATTTTTCAACAGTGTCAAGCTTGATGATGTCATCCAGTCTCGTCGACGCTCTCGGTCAGTAAAAGCAGCATTCTCGATTCGGAGTTACAAAACTAAATTCTCGGCTCGTTTTCCTGCACACCCGTGTGGTCTCGCTAAAAAATTAATGAAAATTCTAGAGCTTTGCGACATTCACTCTGCGAAACTAGCGAACATGACTCTTATTGCTCTTCATGCGCTATACAATGCAAATACGTCAAGCTTTCGTCCCGTTGTGGATTTGCTAATTTTTTTCAATAGTAGTCGTTATAATGGCAATTTGTTACTTATTGCAGTTCTTAAATAATTGAAAACTGTTACAAAATGATATTTGAATACTTCTTCTTTGGAGTTTATATTCCTCCTTTTATTTTACTCATTATTTTAGACACTAATAAAGCGTAATAAATATTCAAATTTACCCCCAAAAACCCGCCCCAAATACCTCCAAAATCAAAAATATCAATTTGTTGATTGAAGCTTCGTTAAAAAGTTGTTAACGTTTAAAGTTCCCTGTATAGTAGTGGTTCTCACTCAGCATGAGAAACTCTACTTACTAACGTATCGACATCCTTACAGCCTTGTAAGTGAGAACCACTATCACGCATATGCAACTGTTCGCAGATTGCCGTTCTACAGGAGAAATTTTAAACGTTAACAACTTTTTAACGAAGCTTCAATCAACAAATAAGTATTCTTGATTTTCGTCTTAT